CCCACGTCGGATGTCTAGCGTCCGGCCCGGTTCCCTCCGTCACACTTCCAGGAGGGGGAGGAGAAGGAGGAGAGGAGGCAGGAGAGGAGGGAAAGGAGGAGGAGGAGAAGGACTAGGAGGGAAAGCTGCGATGGGAGACCGGAGGGCCAGCTGGTGGACGGCAGGAGGAGTGACACCACCGAGCAGCACCAAATCAGTGGACATCTGACCCTGGCGCCCCGAAAGGCCCAGGACCTGCCCCCTCCACTTGACCTCGGTGAGCTCTGTGAGAGCCGGGAGGTGAAGGGCAGCCGACAGCTCGGGGGCGGCTCTGTAAGGAGGGGATGGCACAGGAAAGACCTCCAGAGACAGTTCATCCCCGACACCTGTCTCTGATGCGTTATCCCCAGACCCCGCCGCCCCCTCTTACTCCTCAGCCGGCCACACTCAGCTGCCCATCGCCTAGAAAACGGGTGCCAAGTAACCCTGAAACGCTCGCCCAGTCCACCTCGCCATCCCCGTCAGGACGCCCTCGCCCCACCTGCTTTCGTCAGTGGGAGCCAGGCTGTCCCCCATACGTGCCTCATGTCCCTGCCGGATCTGTCGGCCACTGGCAACAAAATAGTAGGTGCGTGAGCCTCCAGCCCAGGCCCCTGCCTCCCCGTCTCAGGGCCTCCTGCATGGCTCCAGAGGCTGCCACCGATGCCCTCTCCTCTGAGAAGCTGTCCCTGGCCTTCCAGCCTGGAAGAACCCCGAGCACCACCCCCCCCCCCCCCCCCCCCCCCCTCTCTGTGGGGAGATGCCCAGTGTGGTGGCGAAGCTCATGGCTCTGCAGACAACCAATGGGCCCCAAATCCCAGCCCCACCCTCAGGCCGTGTATGACTTTGGACACATTAACTCATCTCCCTGAACCTCAGTCTCCTCATCTGAAAAATGGGAATAAGACTAGCCCCTCCCCACAAGATTGTCCTGAGGATTAGAAGAGAGGGAGCAGGTGCACAGAGAGCACTGCAAACCACGTGTCACACGTCGTAAGTGCTCCGCAAACACTGGCTTTGTGTGCACTGTGACCACAGCGTGACTTGCACTGTAGCTGTCTGGGCGTGTGGCTCAGGTCCTGTCCTGGGCTGGGAAGAACTTGAAGGCAGGGACCACTTAGGATGCATTGGAGTCTTTTTTAAAATATATTTTTATTTATTTGAGAGAGGAAGGGAGAGGGAGAGAGAGAAACCTCAATGGTGAGAGAGAATCGTTGATTGGCTGCCTCTTGCACACCCCCCACTGGGGATGGAGCTCACAACCCAGGCATGTGGCCTGACCAGGAATCGAACCTTGACCTCCTGGTTCATAGGTCAACACTCAACCACAGAGCTACACCGACTGGGCACACATTGTAGTTATTCCCTCCAACCTCACACCCACCCCCTTTGTTAAAGAGGGACGGAAGGAAGGAGAAGAGGAGAGAAGGAGGGAGGGAGGGAGGGAAGGAGGTGGTAAGAGAAAGAAAGGGAGATGCTGTTGCAACCATCACCAGCAGCTGGTTCCCGCAGGCCCTGTGCTTTGTAACCATCACCCTGGCCCCCACTGCTCTGTGCCGTCACTGTTTGTTCCCCCTTGTTCACAAATGAGAAAACGGGGGCTCAGAGTAGTTGAGTAACTGGCCCCAGGTCACCCAGCGAGTGAGAAACGAACCCAGGACCGCTGACCCTGAGCTGGGGCTCAAGGTCACCGTGTACATGCTTGGAGAAGGGCAGCCCCTTGTGTGCATGCCAAGCCAATCCTACCTGGGCCCCCAACCTCTCTCTCATGGAAAAGACTTTAAAACAGGTTTAACAGCAGCCGAGGGTGGGGAAGAGCAGTTTGGGGGGCGCCACCCTATTGAAAAAGAGGCGCTGGTGTTTGGCGCCTTAGACCAATCCCGCCCCACTCTCTACTCAGGCGCCGTTTTTATGCCCGGTGGGCAAAGGACGGAAAATGACGATTTCCTGCCTCCCGCCCCAGGAGGGGTGGCGGGGGTCTGCCAGTTTTCCGTGCACAGGAGAATGAAAATCCGTGGTGAGGCACAGAGGACAGTGAAATTTGGAGAAAGGCAGGAACAGCCTGGAGTGGCTTCTCCCGCCGCAATCCTGCTCCCTGGGTACCAGGCTGCATTCCATGGCAACAGCATTCTCACTTCGTGGAAATAAAAGCTCCTACCAGCTGGGCCCTAGTACAGTGGAGCCCGAGGATTAGCATATTCCATGTGAGCGACACAGTGGCACCGGCTTCTGGAGGCAAAGGGGCCCCTGAGACAGAATAGGGAGCAGCCTGGCTCCGCCAGACCCCAGAGCCTCTTGGGCCGCCCACCGGCGTCCTTGACCGCCACCGGACCAGGGACCACAGGAGCCGGAAGTGAGGAGAGCCTGGTGGGTAAGGACCAGGGTAGTGGAGGCAGAAAGAGCTGAGCTTGAATCCCAGCTCTGCGACTACCTGGCTATTCGACCTGGAATGAGTCCCTTCTCCTCCCTGTGACTTGATTTTCTCATCTGTGAAATGGGTACAACAGCACATTCCCACCGAGGGCTGTGCATGAACCAGTGAAGAAATATATGCAAAGCGCCTCAGCACATAGCAATCAGTTGGTCCATGCCAACTTTCTGGTGAGTTCTTCCACAGCCAACTTTTCAGGAACACACCTGGTGGGAAAAGTGAGAGATTTTTTTAACGTTGTGCGCTTTGTGCAAATTTTTAGACTAGTCAGTTGCTAAATATTGCCATAAAGCTGTGTGTCTGAGTGTGTGTAAGCGTGATGTGTGTGTGAGAGAGAATGTGTGCGTGAGACACTCCATGCCGAGCAGGGAGGGGGCGCTCGGGAGCCTGATTGATGGCTGGAGTCCCGCCTCCTCATTTACGCCATGATCTCGGCCAAGTCACGCACCCACATCGCATCGCAGCGTTACTGAGGGAGTTAAAGTGGCACGTGCGCGGGGTCACCTAGTCTGGGTGGGCCTCGCGAAGGACTGAACATGGCCATAGCCAAGTGCCAGGTGGGATCCTAGAACAGAAAAGGGGCATTCGTAGAAAAACACGTGGAATCCAGAGTCTGAACTCCAGTGAACAGTGTGAGTTCATGTTAATTTCTTCGTTTTGATGTGGGTGCCGTGGTCCTATGGGAGGGTAACACCCAGGGAAACTGGGTGAGGGGTGCAGACTTTGCCTTGAACCACCCTCCGAGTGGAGATCGGGGCTGAGCCCTGGCGGAGGCGGTGGGGAATCAGACGCGCCCACACCCAGGCCTCAGGCCTCAGGCTGAGGGCCGACCCGGGAGACTGTGGCCAGGTGACAGCAGGCTTCCTCGCCCAGGCCCAGTCCTGGTCGTGTGCCTATGGGAGCTGCAGGACGAAGGTGCCACAGAGAATCCAAGGAGCCCAGCCTGAGTGACGGGGCTCCGGGAGGCCTGTGCTACCCGCCCATCCTCTGCAGACGTGGACAAGTGGGGAAGCAGCCACTCTGGAGAGTCCCATGGCAGCAAGGCCCAGGGCGGTGTGTGTGCGTGTGTGTGTGTGTGTGTGTGGGGGGGGTTGGCGCGCAGCCACGGGGGTTCTGGACTGGGAAGCAGGGTGGATGGGGTTCCGGACTGGGAAGCAGGGGGGATGGGGGCTCTGGACTGGGAAGCAGGTGGATGGGGGTTCTGGACTGGGAAGCAGGTGGATGGGGGATCTGGACTGGGAAGCAGGGGGGATGGGGTTCCGGACTGGGAAGCAGGGGGGATGGGGGCTCTGGACTGGGAAGCAGGTGGATGGGGGTTCTGGACTGGGAAGCAGGTGGATGGGGGATCTGGACTGGGAAGCAGGGGGGATGGGGTTCCGGACTGGGAAGCAGGGGGGATGGGGGCTCTGGACTGGGAAGCAGGTGGATGGGGGTTCTGGACTGGGAAGCAGGTGGATGGGGGATCTGGACTGGGAAGCAGGGGGGATGGGGTTCCGGACTGGGAAGCAGGGGGGATGGGGGCTCTGGACTGGGAAGCAGGTGGATGGGGGTTCTGGACTGGGAAGCAGGTGGATGGGGGATCTGGACTGGGAAGCAGGGGGGATGGGGTTCCGGACTGGGAAGCAGGGGGGATGGGGGCTCTGGACTGGGAAGCAGGTGGATGGGGGTTCTGGACTGGGAAGCAGGTGGATGGGGGATCTGGACTGGGAAGCAGGGGGGATGGGGTTCCGGACTGGGAAGCAGGGGGGATGGGGGCTCTGGACTGGGAAGCAGGTGGATGGGGGTTCTGGACTGGGAAGCAGGTGGATGGGGGATCTGGACTGGGAAGCAGGGGGGATGGGGTTCCGGACTGGGAAGCAGGGGGGATGGGGGCTCTGGACTGGGAAGCAGGTGGATGGGGGTTCTGGACTGGGAAGCAGGTGGATGGGGGATCTGGACTGGGAAGCAGGGGGGATGGGGTTCCGGACTGGGAAGCAGGGGGGATGGGGGCTCTGGACTGGGAAGCAGGTGGATGGGGGTTCTGGACTGGGAAGCAGGTGGATGGGGGATCTGGACTGGGAAGCAGGGGGGATGGGGTTCCGGACTGGGAAGCAGGGGGGATGGGGGCTCTGGACTGGGAAGCAGGTGGATGGGGGTTCTGGACTGGGAAGCAGGTGGATGGGGGATCTGGACTGGGAAGCAGGGGGGATGGGGTTCCGGACTGGGAAGCAGGGGGGATGGGGGCTCTGGACTGGGAAGCAGGTGGATGGGGGTTCTGGACTGGGAAGCAGGTGGATGGGGGATCTGGACTGGGAAGCAGGGGGGATGGGGTTCTGGACTGGGAAGCAGGTGGATGGGGTTCTGCACTGGGAAGCAGGTGGAGTGAGTGGGGAGGGCAGTGGGTGTTCAGCTCACATCCATCACTGCTGCTCATTCATGCTGGTTCCTATTTGAGCCCCATCAACACCTGAGTCACCGAGTTCCTGGCGATAATGATAGCAATCAGGTTAGGAGCACATAATTGGATAATTCAATTGCTTTCCAGGGAGAGCTGCTGTTTAATTAAAGAGGACTGAAGGCAGAATGAGGAGGCTGGCCGGGGAAGACCTGCCTGAGCGTCAGGAGGGATTGCAGCGATCTGACAAGGTGAGGAGCGCGGGGCTGAGGGCGGGCACCGCCACCGGCAGCTGCTTCTGGCTGCCCTGAGCGAGGAGACGAGGCGGCGGGAGAACACCAGCTTGCTTCCCTGGAAAGCCTGGGAGCGGCTCACATCACAGCCAATCAGAAGGCCATCCGTTAGCCTAGATTTTAAATAAATTTGCATTTAAGAATAAACACCCTATCCCAGTGGTCGGCAAACTGCGGCTCACGAGCCACATGCGGCTCTTTGGCCCCTTGAGTGTGGCTCTTCCACAAAATACCGACTTCTGCGCATGGGCCACAAAGTTTCAATCGCACTGTATGCGCGCGCCCGCACGTGGTATTTTGTATTTGGTATCCTATAGTCTGCCAGCTCCTAGCTGTGTGACCTCAAGAAGCCACTTAACCTCTCTGAGCCTCGGTTTTCTGCTCACAGTCACAGGCAAGGACTGTACCTATTGGGGAAGGTGAGGGATTCTTTCAACATTTGATGCTTTGTAACCCTTTTTATATCAGCTAACTACTCAATGTGGCCATGAAGCGGCGTGTGTATGCATGTGCATGTGCATGTGCATGTGCGTGTGCGTGTGCGTGTGTGCAGGTGAGGGAGGGGGTGGTTTCCCTTTGGGACATACCGATTGAGTTGTGCTCAGCTGGCTGTGGAGTGAGGCCGCCGTGCCTGCCTCCCAGCGTGTGGGAGGCTCAGTGAACTCACACGTGGAAGCCCTCGGAGCAGGCCCGGATGCGGGCCCAGCGTCCAATGGATGTCAGTTATCGTTAAAGGAAAAAAAGCAATTAACACAGAAAATGCCTGCGAGATTCCCGGCGTATATACATTTATTATAAAACGTCAGCTCAAGAGACACGCTCCCTGGACAAATAGAGACGCTTAAGTGGTCTCCGCCCATTTTGCAAAGACACTCGAGAGTTGCTTATAACGAATTAGGGAGACGTCAGCCAATGACGTATCAGTACCACTCCGTGAGCTTTTACAGGGCAACGGCAGTGAGCGGGTGCCGTGCCGGGCACTGGTGGGCAAGGCGGGCAGGGTCCCCACCCCGGACACATCTGTCGGGTCCGTGCCATGCCATTGCCTTTGGTCTTGGGGGTAGGACGCCGCCCTAAGTGGCAGGTAAGGGCCCCAAAACAGGCACAAAGTGAAGGCAGTGATTTCTTGCTCCCTCAGATCAGGCAAGTCCCTGAGCGAGACCAGGTTCCCACCACTTCCTTCCCCAGTTGCTTGCAGGGTCTCCCTGCAAACCTTCCTCAAAGAGCAGAGCTTCCCCCCACTGCGACCAGGCCGTGTCCCTCCCGTGCCCTGGCGCCAGTTAATGTTCTTAATTGGAGCTTTCTGTGCTGGGGGGGGGGGGGGGGGGGGTCCCAGCTGAGCGGGTGGAGGAGGCTGCCCCAGGCGGCTCACCCTGCCTCCCCAGGTGATGGCCTTTCATCTCCCTGTTGAAGGGCCTTTCCTTCCTGTCATCTCTCTGCTGCCTTCTCATTAGGGAAGCTTTGCTCCCCCCAGGGTCAGGCATTGTCCCTCTTCCCTGAACCGGCATGGCTTCACTACCCAGCACACCCAGCCTCCGGGCCCAGGGGGC